CCTAAATAAGTAAAATATAACAATATAATAAATAATCCCGTCACTTTCTTCCTTATCAGCTCGTTGAAATTCTTCAGAAGTTCAGTAAATCTAACCCTGCGATTATCTTTTTTCTGCTTCGAATCTTCAGGACGCACGAAACAGAAGATTTTTTCAACAAAATTTTTATTTTCTGGAATTATACAAAGATTAAACACGTAAATATATAATAGAAGTTAAATTATAATCCTGTCACTTTCTTCCTTATCAGCTCGTTGAAATTCTTCAGGAGTTCAGTAAATCTAATCCTGCGATTATCTTTTTTCTGTTTCGAATCTTCAGGACGCACGAAACAAAAGATTTTTTCAACAAAATTTTTATTTTCTGGAATTATACAAAGATTAAACACGTAAATATATAATAGAAGTTAAATTACAATACTTAATAAAATTTGGTAATGTTCTATTTCCGTATTATTTTTAATTGTCTACTTGGACTTTATTTATTAATAGGACATAAACTGGTGTTTAAAGATTGACACAGCAATGAGAGTTAGTTCAGGAAAGAACAAAATTTCATTATTATATCACCTGTAGTAATAGTTTCTGTACACATANCATAAAATTCGAATATTGGTTCGATTATAGAACGATCGTAAACGTTCCAGAAACGTTGAAAATAGTTCGTTTGACTGGACGTGAACAGGAGACGTTCAGAAATAGAATCGGGACCAGGAAGTATTAATATAAAGCGGCATGCAAGATTTACAGGCGGTTTTCTGCGCTTCTGCGGGAAATCGAACATATTTTTATGCTCATGTAAAAATTCTCTGGAAAAGTCTGGAAACGGGAGACCTAATTCTTGCATTTTGTGAAAACGGGTAAGATTGGATATAATGTAATTGTCTTAATCTTCACTATCGTTACTTTTTGCCACAAATAAAAACCCAGCGAAGCGGATCCTTGCAGCTAGTACTTAATAAAATTTAGTAATGTTCTATTTCCGTAATTTTCTAAAAAATGGTGTAATGTTGTGAAAATAATATTAAAATATTGTTTAAAGAGTATATACGTACAAATCTGAGTATTTCTTCTGCAAAAAGCGAGAAGTGTTAAAATGAAATTCGACTTATAATACGGGCAAATTCCGTCTTATTAAATAAGTTTTCCAACATTTTCTAGACACACTCTTGGTCATTCGTGAACGTCGATTCGTCTTCAATTTCAACGATTCATAAAATGTTTTTTCATCGTTAGAACAGATTGAAAACAACTAATTCATTTGAATCAATGTTTTCGTAAATTGATAAAATTAACGTAAGTATAAATTTACTGCAAAACTAAAACATTTTTTAGTTGTCGTGAAAATGACGAAAGTTGCCAATACTCCAAACTCCCAATTATCCTGCATCTTCAAAAGATTAGAAGTATCGTTAAATAGCCAAGTATCACAAGTTCTAGGATATCGCGCGACTTTGTCGAATCACGATAGAATTGAAGCGGAACGGGAAAGGAACAGGCCATCCTTGCAGCTGAATGTGGCGGAAACGCCTACTTTGCCATTGTTTCCGCAAAAGAGGCTATCGTCTTTCCTGCCCATCGTGGAAAAGGCCATCCAAGAACAAGTCAGCCGATGGCGATTGCTTTCTCTCTATGTATTGTTCGCTTTTATCGCCTATTTTCTGTTAGGCGAACGTAATGCCGTTTTCACATTTAAGTTGACCATATTATGTAATTTATTATTTACTGTATTCGGTCATACGTTAAAACGGAAATTCGCCAAAGCGTGATAGGTTCAAGAATTGCAAACTTTATGAAGCACGAAGAGTTTGGAAATAACAGATCGGTATGTATTCTTGTTGTTTGTAACAACATACATTTGTCTACAACCTTTCCGGGATTTATAAAACTTGTGTCCGGGAATTTTTTTTGCGAATGTATTTTGTTACTGGCAATACGAATGAAATGAACACGATTACCATGGATCATTTTGCAGATATATATTGGATTTTTCAACAACATTTGAGAACCTGAAATGCTGTAAGAAAGGTTAAAATTTCGACGTTTTATTAAATGGATGTTTCTTTTATGAAATTGATTAATACGAGGAACACATTTTTTACAGATTAGGGATAGTTTGATCTGGATCGATCGCTTTCCCTTGCCATATCGCACGCTTTAGCAATATACCAGTAGGAAGGGAATTGCCTACTCGTTGCTCTTTCTGTGCGAAACTGGTTTAGTTATATACGCAAAAAAATGAAATACACGAAAAACTCCACGCGGTTGACCCGGTGGTTAGGCACAAATTTGAGGCGAGTGTTCAATGACTTAGTCCATTGAGCCATCTACGAAATACAGATATAAAATTAATTTATAAATTGCATTATAATTTATTACCTTGACTTAAAACTTTCCAAACATTAACTGAAACGAATATATTGTGAAATCATCGACAGATCATCACGAGTTTGCAAACAAACAAAATAAATTAGTTCTAACGGAGACCGTAATAAGTGTCTGATGTGACTAATCTTTTCTATGATTGATTCATGACTCGAAAATATATCATGGCAAATGTTCTTAAATGTTGTGCCACGAAGACATATTCTCGGAGGTGAATGACAAATAAAGGTATATTTAAAATTTGTGAATACAAATAAATATTCAATTTTTATGCGCTATCAATTATAGTTATAACGCATAAAATTACATTTTATTATCTATCATATCAGGCAAATATTACAGAAGTTACCCGTATTATAAGAAACAGAAATCAAACCAAATATTTAAAAATTTAATATTAAAGATGTTAAATTAGAAATGAAAAATTCAGTGCTTTAACCTTTGCCGGGAATGTATATTGATAATGTTATCAAAAGTACTTTACCTGGAAACTTTACGAATACCAAGGAATGCAATTGACGTTCTTCCGCTCTTCCACATAAAACGAAAATCGCTGCAACAAAAGTAATTTGATAAATGTAGTCGAAGAGCAAACACGTTGCCATAAACACGAAAAGTTCTTTATATACAGGGATATTGGCAATGAATATTCCTACTAGAAACGATGCAACGTTAGTCAGAGAAGTGATTGTGATAGAAACACCCGACTCGGTGAATGTTTCGGCCATTCTTTCTTCCACAGATTTCTTCGGGTCGGTTTTCATCCACGCCGATAACATAACAAATGTATCGTCCATACCAATACCTATAATTAATATTATTTCTTATTATTTATTCAAATAAAATAAGAATATTGTACAAACACGAATAAACACCATAACGAAAATGAAAAATATGAATATTCCCTGTACGAGTATGTGTGTATCTTATATGTGTATAAAAAATATAGCCTATAAAATTAGTATTCGAAATATTCTATATTCTATTTTATATTGCGTGTGATTAATTAATAATTACAAATAGAAGTAAAGTGATAAAAAAAACGGAATGGAATATCATTTGTTAATTACAAAAAATGTTCTCTTAGCTTTTATATTTAAAGTTGTGTTTAAAATTTATTCATCGAATAGAATTTACTTTACTAGGACTATTTGATGTTTTGTGACAAATGCCGTGAAACCGCAGCACGTATTACTCGACAAGAACTCGACATGTAATATAAAAAGTGGTGAAAAAGTATGGAATTTCATGTGATAAATATAATGTGCCGTAGTTTGTCCGTGCAACGCAAGCACTCCCTAGTTGCCATTAATGTTTTTTCTCCACAGGAAATAAGGTATTTCGCCTTTAAAAGCGCTTCTCTTCATCCAAGCACCTTTTACTGCCTAATTCTTCCAATTTAACTTGTTCTAACGCATCACTTAATAGTAATTATAATAACACACAGGGATACAGAATTCTAATACGATTTACGGGTGGAAAAACTAAAACACATACACTCAACACAAATATAAACAAATATCTCTCACATTATCGCTTTAATTTCGAGTCCTCTCTATAGAGGGGACTCGAAATTTACGCGACAATGTGGCAGCAATACTTTCTGTATAAAGTATTGCTCTCCAATAGGTGTAAAGCACGTGAGAAAAACCCGTAAAACTCCACGCGACCGACTCAGTAGTGAGTAGCGAACTGACTAACCATTAGTGTTTAGCGATTTTATCCATTGAGGCCGTGCCCAACAAACTATCGTTTATTATTATTATACAAAAATGACTTACCTAAAATAAGAAACGGAATCATATATGTTACAGGAGATATTCTATAACCCACATAAAGCAGAAGGCCGTAACCAGAAACTAGACTCATTCCTGTGGCTATGGACGACATGATTCCGGTCCAAGGTTTACTTCGGAGAAAGTCTGGCCATAAACAACTAACAACGGTAAACGTAACCATCAAGAAAACAGAACTCGGAATATATTTTAGAGTAGCGACAAACAACTGACTTTTCGACTCAAGCCTAGAAAGCGACACGTCTTTCTTTATTTTGATGTAAGAAACGTTCAGTCTATTCAAGATGTCTACGAATCGATTTTCCCACGTTATTGCTCTTTCTTCCGCCCATTTATTCGAATCGTCTAGAAAATAGAACAATTTAACAGCCTTGGCAGATATTAAACATCCTTCTTCGTTCAGTTTCACACCGCCCAATGTTAAAACGTCGTAATTTCTGCTCGTATTGCCAATTGGATATTTCAACCGAAATGTTCCGTTTTGCAACGCTTTCAGTTTATTATCTATACGAAGAATTTTATTTTCGTAACACTTTCCATTATTTTTAGCGCAAATCTCTTTGTAGTTCCATCCGTCGTCTTCTTCAACAAAGAAATTTTGAATTTCTCGATCCAAAGTGACAATTTCACGAAAGACGAACTCTCGTAGAATCGAGCCTCCGTCCGTGGCTTCGACAATAACGGTTCCGTAATGAATGACGTGCAATAATCTTGCGGGGTCGAAGTTTGACGCGAGATCTATGGGAAATAATTGCATCAAACGCGACTTGTACTTGTCGATAATTCCTCCGGCTGGGACTAGAACGTCTTCGCTTAAGTCTTGGGAGAACTTTTGAAATCCTGTGCCTAATAACAATGTCATAAAGACTGGCACAACTATGTACCATGACGTGTGTCTTGAGACATTTATCCCGTGTTTATGAAAGGTTTTGGATAAGAATCGGTACGCAATTCCGATACACATGTTCGAAATCTGTAAAAATATATAATAATAATAATCAATTAATTAATTACTATATGAAAGACAATATCGTACTCGACTAACATATGTAAAATTAACATTACAAATTATATCGTCTATTTTCTTTTAAATCGTCTATTTAAATTTCTTATCTATTAACTGGAAAGTTTTGGTGCTTAATGAAGTTATTATACCTGATTGTTATGATATTTTAACCGTTAAAAGCGAAAATGGTGTTATTCAGTTTTTCCAGAATACTAACTTACTGTTATGCTTCAGTTACTGACAGCATTACTTACACATTCGTTGTAAAAAATAGGAATGTTTACCTTATTTACTACAGCCGATAGCCGTTAAAACCCGTCGGCACTATGGCGCGCGTGATCTCGGATTTTAATTTTCAAATTTCCCGCCAGTCGCTGTTACTAAAAATAGCTGCAGCTACGGCGGGCGCTTCTTCTCTTATAATCGCGTTATTATAAAGCGAATAACTTGTAAAAAGCTGAAATTTAACCGGAAATAATTTAATTTCTTACATTGGTATTTTTTTAATCATTTTATAAAGTTTTATGACACCATCACATTTCCCTGAGCGGAAGTAAACAATCTGTTAGCCATTTGACCCTCAGCTGACAGAGAAGGAAGTTTTTGAAAACAAAGTAATAGAGCGATTAGCAGTTTGTTGTTTTTCACAGCGGAGGACTAATAAGTGGAAGTCTAGTAAGACTTACTAGAGTCTATTACAGTAGACCCCCTATAACGCGGAGATACGTTTCGCTTTATAAGAATTTCTCGTTGTAGGAATCCTTAAATACATGAGCCAATCACAGACCGACAAATACGTGAACCGTTGTTATAAAATGACAAAAAAACTTACTTTGAGGGTATTGACGAGGTTTATTTTATTTTTTTATATTTTGAACACTATTAACGAGTAAAAAAATTCATTAAAAGATATGACACATGACCGCTTTTATGTCTTCATCCTGTCGACCTTCAATTAAGGACCAAAATTTAATAGTATTAATGCCCTTTTATACTATTATATTACGCAAGCTACAGTGCCACATTTTGTTTTTTAAACTTTACCCATTCTGAGATATTGTTTAATATCTCAGAACAGAAAATAAAGAAATTAAACAAATTAGACGTTAACACACACACGCGTGTGAATTTTTCCCCTTTTACTGACTTTTTTGAGGGGTTCGAAAGGTTTCCAAACGTGTAGATTTGCAAAAGAAACTTGGAAGGTCAAATTTGACACGATTCCAATACTTTTCCGTTTTACATACATTACAAGTTGGGAAGTAAAAAGGAGTCGGAGTCGGCGGATTTTTTGACGACTTCGACTCCGACTCCGGCTAAAACACCAAAACTCCACGACTCCGACTCCGGCTAAAACACCAAAACTCCACGACTCCGACTCCGACTCCACAGCCCTGATTAAAATAGCACTCTCCAATTAACATGTGAAATGAAGAAGTAATCGAATCGGGTCCCGCCGCCATCTTAAATAACGCGCGACTGTAATTGATCGATTTTGAGCGCGTCGCGTTGTATCAAATTAAATCTATATAAGCTATATATATATATATATAAATGGACATGTATGTCCATATATTTCACTTTTCCGCCAAAACTACACATCGCACGTGAATGGTGTTTGTATGTGGTAGTAGCCCCAAGTCTCCATTCGTGCACAGGGGTGGTTGCGTCTCGATAGCTATAAGGGTGCGGGAGATATGAGGCTGAAAGTGGTTGAAAGTGGCTTTCTATTTCGAATGTTTTGTTCGAATTTGTTCGAATTAAATTCGAACATAAAATTCGAATATTGGTTCGATTATAGAACGATCGTAAACGTTCCAGAAACGTTGAAAATAGTTCGTTTGACTTGACGTGAACAGGAGACCTTCAGAAATAGAATCGGGACCAGGAAGTATTAATATAAAGCGGCATGAAAGATTTACAGGCGGTTTTCTGCGCTTCTGCGGGAAATCGAACATATTTTTATGCTCATGTAAAAATTCTCTGGAAAAGTCTGGAAACGGGAGACCTAATTCTTGCATTTTGTGAAAACGAGTAAGATTGGCTATAATGTAATTGTCTTAATCTTCACTATCGTTACTTTTTGCCACAAATAAAAACCCAGCGAAGCGGGTCCTTGCAGCTAGTAATTTATAAAAATTAAAATAACAAATATGTTTACAGAATAATTAACTATATCTATTCGCAATAGTATTCTAACACACATCGTACTTATAGTTTAGCATTTCTGAAAACATTTAATTAATTTTTTAATTTTCTTCTATTTTATGTGTATAATACGAATAAAAAAACATAAATTCGTGAAACTTAATAAAAAAATATCTGCAACTTCAGAAAACACATATATATGAGAATCTATCAAAAAAGTGAGCTAATAATAACTAAAATCGAGAAAAAAAATAAAACTTTAGAGGTACGGTAATTTCTGTGGTAAAAAGTGAGGTAAGCGATCACGCGACGCCCGTCTCCCCATCGTCTGTAACCAAAACGGACGAGGGTGAAATAAAAGCGGAAACACCAGTAGAAGTAAAAACAAACATCGGCTCGAGTCTAGGACAATAAACTTGAACGGGAGCGAAGATGAAACACGACACTTTGTAATTTATGCTAATTACCTTCCAATATTAAAAAATTAAAATCGTCAACAAAATTATAACAAAATTTGTTTTTTGACTAAATTCGACTACAAACATATCGTAAAACTGGATTAAAGTAAAAATACCCGCTTTTCGACGCTAAATTTTTATTACTTAATTTTTTAATTTGGTGCCTAATTGATCGAGCGCGCGTAATTTCTATTTGACGGAGCACGCGCGTGCCAACGGGTAACGATAAACCCGCAGTAATTTTAAACTGTAATGTAAGTGTAAATTTCTCAATGTCCGTGAAAAGTGACGTAAGTCATTTTTTCTTTCAACTGCTCATTTATCTTCTCAAGAAATATTTACTTAACAATATTTACTAGGGAGTCGTCGTCCTTCTCGCGCATTACAATTTTCGATGATTTGTCGTATAAATCGTCTCTTTTTGCAGAAGCTAAATCTCTGAATAAAAGAACATTTGTGAGAACCGATGATGATAAATTCAATTTAATCTAGAATCGATTGAATTGGAGATCAATACTTTTCTAGCCAAAAGGATTAATTGGACCAATGAGATTGAGAAAACTTTAGTAATGAGAATGTCTCGGAACTGTCGAGGAACGTAGGACTTGACAGTGAATGACCGAGAGTTTATTTATTTTTTGCAAAGTTATGATGTAGTTGCTTTCGCTGACACTCGATTAACTAACTCCTAAAAACGGTTCCTTACCTTAACCCGGATTTATTTTTATATGAACAATTAGCTAAAAATCGAATTGGGTCGTCCGTATAGGGGTCTCGTTCTTAGTTTCCCATACACTAGATTTTTCAATACTGTATCGTTTGAACTTACGATGGATAGTATTTTGACTCGGAATCTTCCAAAAATTTGTTATATATGGAAACAAGAAAGGTTGAATAATTATTTATCTCTGATCACTTGGTTATATATCTCGGTTAACAGGAACTTTCAGTTAGATGCGCGGAGTTACCGTGTGGAATTGTTAATAAAAATGTTTCTTCGTTATCATTCGAGAAAGAATGGTTTAAGCTCCAAAATAAAGAATCGACTATTACCAATGTTTCGTAGAAATAAAAGTAAAAACTTATCGGATGAATAATGCAGATTAAATAAAAGTTACGAGTTGCCGTGTAAGGCGAAGAAAAAATTATTTTTGGCTAAAATGAATTCACAACTATTGAGAATTAAAAGTACCAAAGATTTTTGTTCATTAGTTAATAACTTTCGAATTAAGAAACAGCGCGAAAATATTATATCTTCCTCGGATTAGTTGAATTATTCGAGAGTATTTCGCTGAGCTTAATACAGTAATTTATTTTCATTTAGGCTTTGGTAATGATATTCTTCTTTTCGACGATCTTATCACTTTGAGTGAATTGGAAACTGTACTTAGAAAATGAAAATCATCTAAGGCCCCTGATTTCGATAACAAGGAACGAAATTAACATTTTTAACACGTATCTATTAATGTTTCTGTACAAAGGTAAGTACCTTTCTACAGAAACATTAATAGATACGTGTTAAAAATGTTTAATTTTTTTTGGCCCAGTTGCTCTTTATCGTCGAAACAAATCGCTTTAAGGATGATCTATAAAGAGGAAAGCGGGCAGACGCCAATTTATTATAGACCAATTGCTCTAATTAGAGTATTTTTCAACTATAATTAGCATAAAGGTTTTTTCAACTATTGTGGCAAATCGCCTCAGGGTCTGGATGAATGCATTTAATATTGTTACACCTCTCCAAGAAGCGTTTATTAAAAATAGGGGCGTCGAATATAATTTGTATATTTTGGTTTGTCTCATTCAAATATCACTTTCGAGGGAACGAGGAAAATTATATACTTCTTTTATTGACCTCGAGAAAACTTTCTAATACAGTCGATCAGAATTTGTTATTGTATTGGTTTAGGAGCATTGATCTTTCTGCGCTTTTCGTTAATTTACTTTAGTTTTTTCTCGAATACAGGATAACTTATAGACTTCTAGAGGATTACATCAAGGAGAACATTGATCCTATCCTGAACTCCCTGACCTAAGAGACAAAACGGGTTTTAACAAAGACATCCAGTATAAACTAGTTTCAACTAGTTAAAACGCATCCTAACTAAAAATTGGTTTTGACTGCAACATTCGGGATAAGATTGTAAGCGAGGGAAGATGCCTAATTTTTGATATTTTCAAACGGTGACGTCACATATTGTCATGTATTTGTATGATGAATCGTCGGGCCAATATTGAGTGCGGAAAGCTGTAGTTGGCTACCGTTACATCATTTTCTACATCCGAGAAGAATAAAAGCTAGATAAGAACGAAGTTTTTGTTGCGAAATGTTTTTAGAGTGATTTTAAACTAGAAGTTAAAATAGAATTTATTAAAAATTGCGAAAAACAATTAATGTGTTATGTAGTTAAGGTTCTAAAGTTTCCATTGTCAGCTACCGCCGATCCTGATCGGACATGCTAGAGCACGTGACACCACTAGGCATCTTACCCCAACAAATAGAAAAGATGTCATATTTTTCTTGGGGTAACATGCCTATTTTTCGTGAATTGAATTCCAATATGCCTATTTTTAATAAATTGTTGTTTTCTCGTTTTATTGCCGGATATGCATAGAAATTATATAAGGACTTCTCACTAAAAAAGCTTTCAGCTAGCTATAGAGCACGTTAGAACGGGCGGAAACTTAACAATACTTATACTGTGCTGTTATACTTACTATGAAGTACTTTGTACTACATATGCAATAAATTAAATTTGGTTAATTAAGAAATTCAAAAATTAATTTTATGCAATTATATTTGTTATCTTACCCTAATGGCATTTGGCATCTCACCCAGATACTTGGGGTGAGATGCTTAAAATGCCAGACAGTGAAAAAGTCGTCATTGCAAACACAACATACATTTTTTAAAAATAAACTCCAAAGTTTTATTTGAAAAATATACTTCAGAATATGATATTTTCATTAGAGGGCTCCAAAACTCAATTTATCGCTATAATTTCCTTCATAAGCAAAATGTTAGGCATCTTCCCCCGAATCACTATACATAACTTTATTTATTTCCCTCAAACATACAGTAGAGCGTCGTTTACCCGAATTAATTGGTGACTGGGGTTGTTCGGATAACTTGTTTTTCGGATAACCGATTATGTACGAAAAATATATTAACCTATCCCACGTTGAAATTTTTCTCCGTTTCGTGTCGCTTCGCGTTGAATTTTCGTCTGTGTTAATTCTAACGAAAACTTTTTAAAATAATAATCGTGACTATTGTATCGTAAAAAATTATTTTTAACGATACAATAACGATACAAAATATAACTAGAATTTACTGCTAGTCTAAAATGAATTTGAGTTAAAACTAGTTTTAACTAGACAACACTGGTTTTGACAAAGACATCCAGTATAAACTAGTTTCAACTAGTTAAAACGCGTTCTAACCAAGGACTATTTGCGTTCTAACTAACTGCACAATTCCATGTTGTACGAGTACTTAGATTTTACAAATACGTGTGCCGGCTGTGAACGGCTCACGTATTTGTAAAATCTAAGTGACTCGTACAACATGGAATTCATATAAAACGGATAAATCAACAGTGTTATAGGGGGTCGACTGTACAGTACAGTTGTACAGTACAGTAACTTGTACAGTACAATTGTACAGTACAGTATTTTGTAACTGTATAGCATGCTTTAAACGCATTAATTCTAAAATTATTAAGTGTGAGGTAAAGAATAAAATTTCGTGGTATTTTATTTATCTCGTGCTTGATGAAATTTCTCCTTCTATGGCAATGGATTCAAACTGTATGGTTTTCACCCAAAATCAGAGATTAGGCCTATAACAAATACTAACAACCCCGTAATTATTTTAAATATCAAACAAACGGCCTGATTTCTTTATTTCCCTATTAACGACAATTATTAAGTAACGTTAATTTTAGTAATTGTGCAAAATTTAAATATATTTAAATTAATACACATGTATATTTCAAACATTTCTTTGAACAGATATTTCCTATTAAACTTTTTTATAGATAAGCAGAATTAGGTTTTTATCGTAAATAATGAAAGAATTGGTCTATTTTTAATAGATAAATTGATTAACAATAGCAAAAGAGTCGATAGATTATCTGCTTTAGCAGTTGCTCCCATAACGAAATTGAAGTCCGAAGATGAGTTTTTGGGCTGAAATTCAGAAAAATTGTAGACCTATCAATTCCCACTGTCGTCCGTCTGTATGTCTGCCCTTCCTTAATCTCCAGAACAAAGTCATGTAGACGAAAGCCGAGACCAGACGTGGAAAGCTTAGGCGCACGAGTCCCAATTAACTATATACGAACTTCCGATGCCAACCGGAAGTCACGTTATTTCAATTCCAAAATTTCCCTCGAAAGGGTGACATGACACTATTACTGTTAACAGCAAAAGTGTGACGTACACGGGCTTGATAATAGAAAAAATGTGAATGATAGACAGTACAGGGTAAATCCACTACTAATTTGAGGTAAAAATCAAATTTCTCATCGATTTGCACCGTAAAAATCTACGCGGCCTTAACCACGAGGTTAAAGAATTTCTATTCTAATTTCACAACAACGAACCTACAATATTAAAGCGCGATTGAAATCCCTGGATTCCTTCCTATCAGGGAAGTTCTTTCGGAGTTAACTTTAATTTTAGTTCTTACATATAATATGGAAATAAATTGTGAGGAAATACACGTTTACAAGTTTTTATTGTTCAGTATTATATGAACAATAAATAAATAAATTTCTTGTATACTTCTATATGTATAAATATATTAATGGTGCGATTTATTTAAAATCAATTGTTAATTTCTTAAAACTTCAAAGTTAAAGTCATATAAAATTTATCACCAGTTTTTTTTACATTAATCAGAGACAAAGAACCAATACTAAGATGTTTTAGATGCTAATATTTATTGTAGATATGCATTTCGGGTGTTTCCTTTTCTAAAACAACATCCCTCTTCAGGTTACAGAAAACTAAGAAAAGGCATAAACGAATAAAATAGTACTTCAATATTTAAATTAATAAAAATAAATTTAAAAATAATTCAGGAATTAATATAATAATTTTGAATTGATAATAATTATTTTGAATTGATAATAATTATTTTTATGTCGGTAAAAAAATTTACAGACAAAATAATGGAAAAGTATAGGCACAGTGATAGGCCTCAATATTTACGTATGATAGAGTTAGATAATAAACTAGTACAGTTAAATAGAATTATCTTTATAGCGAGATATGATAATGATAAAATAGTAACATATGATACTCTGATAATAAATGACACTGTAATTTGTGATTATATCTTAAGTAAGTCTTTAAAATTTAAATGCGAATTAGAAAATTAAAGTGATATGAATTATTTGCATATGATAATAAATCGATGTAAAAATGTACGTAATATAAAATCATATTAAAGAAAGTTGTAATGTAGATAAAGCTCTAAATTATAAATCGTGTTGTCCTTCAGTAATACAAAAGAATAATTTTCTGACCACATTGTCTAAGATTTAGATTAGAACAATCAAAGTATAAGACAGAGAAAAAGAACAAAGTGAATTAATAAATAAATTCTTATTAAAAATATAAATATCTGCGTCTAAAACATCTCAGTACTGGTTCTTTGTCTGTCATTAATGCGGTTACGAATGCAAAAACACGGGTGATAAGTTTTATATGATTTTAATCTCGACGTTTTAAGAAATTAACAATTCAAATAAATTTCTGTCTGCTGCTGCGGATAGAACGTCTACCAAGTATTTTATCTACAACCATTTTATTAGTTTAAACATTTACAAAAGATAGCCTAAATACGCACTCCTTAACAGGACAATATAATGTACTGTACATAAATACGTATATATAGATTATACAAATTATAAATTATTAAGCACTACTAAATTTGTTACAATTACAATTAATATTAATAAATTATGTTACTTACGTAATTATAAGTATCGATAGTCTGTTATGATTCAATAGCGCAACAGTTATTATTTATTTATATTATAGTACAGTATTATTAATTGAAGTACATTAGTACAAAAATTTAAAGTATGCATTTAACATAAATAATAATAAAGTAATAAAATAATATCGAAGTTACAGTCTATAATTGTCGTTACACACTTTAAACCCCCCAAATTTACAAATATGTAAAAATATTTACTGTTTAAATTACGATTCACATAAAGTCTAACACGTTAAACACCAATGTAGTTTGATTACAAAAGCAAAGAAGCTTCTTATACTCCCAGATATACCAGTGTAGTATTTTTCGATTTATATACACTCTATTTAACTGAAATTGACTTAAATTACATAACAGAAATTAATTTACTTATTTCTAATGATTGAGGTTTTTCAAAACAAAATTACTGTAATTGTTTTAAAACAAAATAGTCAGAAAATACTTACGCAGTAAATAAAGTGTGCCAAGGAGAAAGCTATTTTAACGATCAGACATCAGCAATTATGTCTAGGGTTACCGGTGTTAAAAATAATCTTAATTTATGCATAATTACAAAAACAAATAAATCACTATATTTAGATCCGCTTAATCGTCAAATCAGCAGTAAAACTTTTACCAAATATTAATAGTTATTTTACTGATATAACTCGTTTTCGAACAATTATATTTTATCAAACGACGATACGGAGTGACATACTAAAACAGTCTATCTATCTACACGTGTGACGTCAGGTTTAATTAAGTAATTGGGTTAGTACGGGTACACTTTCGTATGGTCAATTATAGATTATTCTCGCATTTTGTCATTTCCTGTGTGATAAAATACAGTAAGTTGTAGTGTTACATGTTAATTAATTAAACTTTTAACACTTCGTGATACAAACTGAAAAGAAAAGTTATGCAAAATAAAAAAGAGGGAAACCTATCTGACATAAGTGAGTTTCTCGGTTTTATATTTGATGAAAACTTTACTGTTTCGTCATAAATTAACGCACTTATAATACGTAACTTTAATTCAGTTTTTTTTTCTTTCATTTCAGTTCGTTTATTTTATTACCTTCCGGCGACATTGCGTTAAAAATTGACACGTGAAAAGAATATTAAGGTATTTACAAGGGTTTCTCTCTATCTATTGATCTACTAAATACAAGTATTTAATAAGTCAATAGAATAAAATCTTGTAAATTATTTAATGCGTATAATTTTGTTGGTAAACACACTTATATATACGTGCAATTACTCGTTAACATATAAACAGTTTCAAAATATGTAAATTATGTATGTCGATACACAGTCAAGTATTGTACGGCTGTTTTAGTTATTTTAAATGAGTGTAAACTTTTTATTTTATAACAATCACACTCTGTATATATTATATTTTTGATATACAGTACCATAATTAGCGCATAGTTTGCTGTAGTCTTTATTATTTTATTATTATTTAGTTGCACTTAATTAAAATTAGAGACAAACTTCACCTGTTTCCAGGTATACGCTATCACATAGCAATGTTTAAAGTACATTCGAAGATCACAGTCGGATAAAACAATTAAAATCAAATTTATCCTCGAGTTAAATGTAACAAACAAATAATAAATAGAAGAAATCAATTGTTTGTAAATACACAAATAATCGTAGAAAGTTATTTTAGACTATAATATCTATTTTTAAGCGAATGACTTATTATATTGAACAGAAACGTACTCGGCAAATTAAAACATTTAATACAAAGTGATCAGTTATCTAATTTTTAAACGAATCGAAGATTCGATAGTTTTTAACTGTACGTCAAATAAATTTTGTAGTTAACGTGTAGTAATTCTTCCTTCTCATTAAAAACGACAGAATAAATAGTTAAAACCCGTTGTAGGAGGCTGTACAGAAAGATATAGGTCACACCAGCTGTCCGGAAGCCACCACTCCGTCGTCCTCTCGTCACACGATGTTTATTTTCAGTCGCACGTGGTTCCGGTGCTTTATAGAAAGTTTCTGATTGGTTTATTCTTTAAATGAACGTTAATTATTTTATTTAAAGTAAACGTCCGGAGAGATTATGAAAATACTATATCAAACTCCCATTCGAGTTAAACTGTTTGATTTAACGTGTAAATCCTTATTTTCAATTATCGAGGAAAGAAATGTCTTTCAGTAAAAACGACTTCGAGTTATCTCGTTTCGAGTTAACCAGGTTCCACAGAATTATTTATTAACTTCAGAACTGACCCCTGTAGTTCCTTAACACTGTAGTAGTATTTACGTATTTTAGTATATAATCTATACTAAAGCCACTTTAGCGCTGGTATAATTGAGCACAAGACTAGACAAGAAGCGTATCACACAAATCTATACTATATTTACATTATATTATATAATATAAATTAATTTACCTTTCCGTGAAAATCGTTTCATTACACAATAAAATTATTCGAGTTTGACTTGAAAATAAAAGGAGGATATTTACGCAGAATGTAAAGAATTACGTCATCTTGAGTGGTCAGACATCAATAACTACCTCCGACGCCATTAAGTTTTACAAAAATAATGTTAATCTATGCTTAAAAAGGGAAATAAATTTATAAATTTACATCTTATTGTTCGTTAAACTTAGAAGAAACAATTGAACAATTAAGGACAATCGAAAATGCCTGCCAGCGCGTGTGGCTAAACACGAAACTAGCGATCTGCACGATCAATTGCTTTGTAGAAATTCGAGGCCAACAAATTATTACGTTAAGCGATTATCGTGTTCGATGAACTTCTAAAGATCACTAGAACTTCGTCGAGTCCGATCAAAAATATTATTTGTGAAAATAAAAATTACAATTAATGAGTCTACCAGAAACATTGTTTTTAAAGAAGCTTCACGACGTACTGTACACTAAATTATTCCCTGATAAAATATTACTCTTAGGATGTATTTTATTTATTTTATTTATTACTAAACGTCACCTAATTTGTTTTATTTTAATATACAAGTTTACAAGTTCGATTACTATAATTGTACACTTTATCTTTTGTACAAACGTTATTTTTAGACGTAAATAAGCGAAAACAGCGTAAAGTTGTATTTACTACTAAATGAAATTAAAATTTGTTAAAGAAATTAAAACATTGTACGGTGAGCGCAACGAAAGAGTAAACCAGAGTCAGCCGGAGCTAGAAGGATATATGCGGGATAAAAGAAGACATGTGGTTAACGTGTGAATAACGTTAAAGTTTAAGATAATAACAAAACTGTTCTTTGTTTAAAAACAGCTGTGCTAAAAGGTATAAAAATCGTTAATTAAATCAACAGTAAAACAAACTTTATTGTTTCGTAAAAACGAGTCACAAATTGTTAGCGAAAGTCATTTGAACTAGATTTAAACTTTTATTCTTACCGAACTATAACAAAATGCTATAGAAATTAAAATTATTCCCAAATATATAAATATAATTTGGAAAGAAAACACAGACACACACTTACCTGTGAAAGGATTTAAATAAACCTCAGTTTTTCTACAAAGTATGAAATATAATTTCCCGTCCTTCAATTTCGGCACAATTAAAGTACGGCTTCTAAATGTCTTAACGCGAAGGACGATTTCAATCGTGCGAGAAAATATTGAAAGGTAAATAAAATAATGAAAAGAACGAGAAAGAGAAACTCTATTACCGAGTTAAGCGAAGCGAAATAAAGTTCAACGAAATGATTACTCGACGAGGTAATTTAACCGAAACCATTATAAGAGGGCTAAACAATAACCGCTTCTTGTATAACGAAAATCCTACCAGTACCTCCTGACTTCGATCGTTAAATAGTCGTTTGCCGTCATTCAATTCCAGAATAAACTACCGAGATTTAGTTATACTTTTTGCAAACACAGTCGAGCACTTATTCAATTTTCAGTAAAGAATATTTAACGATTATTCACACGAAGAAAATAATATCAATTGTGGTATGGGTTAATGGTAAACAGTAAGTTGATCACAGTTTAGACTCAGTATTCAAGCTTCTATTAAATACAACAAACATAAACATCCACTAACCTTAAATTTTTCCACAGTAAACATAAGGAAAACGTTCCGCGAATCAGAAGTGTAAAAATTTTTTACTTAATACGAGGTTTCACTTTTTCGTTTATACAGTAGTTACACGTGTTCTACATCTCACCCTCATTTACCTAATGTAGGATTTTTTAAGAAACTCGTCTATCTACAAGTCGACTTGTTGGGTTGACAATGTAAGTGATGTTTGTCTTTCATTGTTTTATAAATTCGCTTATTTTATAAGTTAGTGTTACTTTTCGCTAATCCACTTTGTTCGTATAACTTTGCATTGTTTTGATTTTTGAGAATAGAACCAGTCTGTCGTCACGCTTTTAACTTTTGACACATTGATAAACTAAACGTTTAACTTTTTGCTATTACTATTACTTAAATTTTATATCACAGTGTAATTGAAAATTATTGCATTTCCTAATGGTACCCTTAACCTCCTGTTTGAGTACCCAAAAAGTCAGGAAAGGGCTCTTGACAACTATTTGGTTTTATTTTCTTTTCTCCACATATAACACTGCTAATCTAAACAACCCTTTATACAAACGTGCAAGTACTTATTGCAATAGTCATAGAAATTAAAGAAAGGGCGATACAAACTTATGTCTATAGAAAGCCTACAGAGGTATCGACGTATATACCATTTGAATCTTGTGACCCATTTTCTTANATTTAATTATACTCTTTGCAAACACAATCGAGCACTTATTCAATTTTTATTAAGGAATATTTAACGATTTCAAATATTTACGTCTCATCACAATCAGAATATATGGAAATGTACTGAACCCTTTTTTAATTACGCAATTCGACGCTAGTTCTTACGTTCTTTCTATTTAACTACAGGCAGTTAAATATGATAGATGAAAGGAAGCGAAAATATAAATGTCTCTATGAGCAATTAATTAACTGTTCTTCGTTTCAATGGAATCGTTATAAAATTTCCCGCTGGTCTATTCTTTCTTTCTCTAAAATCTTGATATATAAAACAACAGGAAGCTCACGACACATATTTGAATATTATTATACTGTACTTGTCAAAACTCGAAAAATAACACAGAAGAAACAAAGAGTAAAGTAGGAGTAAGACTTAAAGAACGTATCGCCGATTTAAAATACAGAAGAGTTAACTCGGTCTTTTCCGATCATTACACAATAAATAATCGCGATATTAACAAAGAAAATCTAAGGATTTTACACAAAATAATCTGTACAATAGAAATTTAAAAAGCATTTTAATAATATACAAAGTCAAAAAAATAATATCAATTGAGGTATGGTTAGTTGGTAAACAGTACTGTATGTACTGTACAGTACATTGATCACAGTTTAGACTTAGTATCCAAGCTTCTAAACTATTAAATACAAGAAACATTAGTCATCCGCTAGCCTTAAATTTTTCCACAGTAAACATACGGAAAACGTTCCGCGAGTCAGAAGCGTAAAAATTTTTTTCACTTATTTTTACTGGAATTGCACGCTAAGGAGACATAGCGAACATGGATTTTAACTTCTATAATATATTAATACGAGGTTCCACTTTTTCGTTTATACAGTAGTTACGCGTGTTCTACATCTCACCCTCATTTACCTCGTATATGCTTTTTAAGAAACTCGTCTATCTACAAGTCGAGTTGTTTGGTTGACAATG